TATGTGAGGAATTTTGTCGTGAACAGGGTTCAGGGCTAAACAGAACCTAAAATCATCAAATCAAACGCTTAAAAAAACATTTAAATAATCAAAATACGCCACTGGGAATACACTCTGCATACTGCAGTTCATTATCGCAAATTAACTAAATGCAATATACTAATAAGAAGAATTGAATTATAATAGAATCAATATTATTATATTTATAGCGCACATGATTATTTTTAAAGTTGAAAATTGTGTACCCAAATATAAACCGGAAAAAAATGTAAAAAAATGAGAAAGATCGAGGGTATTGGCGCCCACACGCAAATACAATTCAAGAAGCAAAAAAAACAAAATTAGAAAAAATTATAATTGTAATACACACTGAAGACGTCAGCATGACAGCATGTTATCTCAAATTAATTTATTGCAATGTACTAGATTAAGRCTAATTAAATCATGATAAAATCATTATTTATAGAGCACATCGTTTATGAAAGTAAAAAATTGAGTAAACAAAAATCTAATAGATTCAAATTATGAAGATAAAAATTGGAAAGAGGGTATTGGGCATTGGCGCCGGCAGGCAAATGCATTTCAAGAAGCAAAAAAAAAAAAAAAATTAAAAATCATAATTGTAAAACACACTGCAGAAGACTTTAGCGTGTAATCTCAAAATTAATAAATGCAATGCTCCATATTAAGAATAATTAAATCAAGATAAAATCATTATTTATAGGGCACATCATTGATAAAAGTTAAAAATCGAGTACACAAAAATCTAATAGATTCAAATTATGAAAATAAAAATTGGAAAGAGGGTATTGGAGCCCACAGGCAAATGTTTTTCGAGAAGCAAAACAAAAATTTAGTTTGAACTAGATATATAGTTGTAATACACACTGAAGACTTCAGCATGTTAATAAATGCGATGCACTTTATAAAGAATAATCAAATTATGATAGAATCATTATTTAYAGAGCGCTTCGTTAATAAAAGTTTAAAATTAAGTAGGTAAACAAAAATCAAATTATGCTTGCAGGCAAGGACTTCAGTGAATTTTTATTTACTCATCAAATTGTATTGTATACCTTTMAATTAAAGAATAAAATATGATTAGAGGACCCATTATTTATTATGATTGATAATAATATTTATTTTTTCTTTGAAATACTGGTATAACAATAACTTGGCTTTAAAATCTTGTTAAAAACTACGGTAATAATAATCTCGTTGTATATTTCCTCTGCAATATTTAAATATTTTCTTTCATTGATATGTTTACAATGTCGTATACCTTTATAGTTAATAGGAAAATATAATTTCAATGGTCACGACCAGTATCATTAATAACTGATGATCATACCTATTGTTAACTTCTGTACATAAAGTTTTTGTTATACTTATATAAGATAATTAGTACTTGTACGTCTATTTTTTATCAAGTTCAAGTATGTTTTTTTGTTTATTTAGATAATAATTACAATAGATTTATGTCATTTAAAATATTGAATAGGTAATAAATACCTATGTATAATCGTTATAATTTTTTTTTAATGTCTAAAATCTTAGGTTTAAAAAGTCAATTAGAATAGTCAAAAGAGTAAGCAACTAAATCTAGTATAGTTTTCAAAAACTCTACTAAAACTAGATGTTTAATAATGACTGTATTTCTCTAAAAAATCACCTATCACYAGATMTTATTYTTTTCCAGCATTAGAGATTTGAATTAATTTTATAAAACTAGTAAACGATATTGCTTTTAATTTCGTAACGTAA